ATTTTGTGATCCTTCTGACCACATCTCAAACAAGCTCCAGTATTTCTCCAACAATTTTTTTTCCATGTCCCAGTTTGTGACAAACATCACATCTGCTATCTTGTGATCTTTCTGACCACATCTCAAACAAGCTCCGGTATTTCTCCAATAATTTTTCGCTTCACGCCCCGGTTTATGACAAACATCACATCTCAAAGTTTTCTGGTTAGGAATTTGCTCCTCTCTGCGTCCAAAATTCTGTTTTTTGTTTCTCCAATTCTTATTTCTTCCACCGCGATTGTCTTGCCAGAACCGCTTCTTTGGGTAGGAGTTGCTCGCCTCATTCTTTGGTTTCGTATCAATTTCATTTTTCTCAATTAACAAGGCCTTCTTTAACACTTCTCCATATGTAGGGAGTTCAAATGCACTGACCGTCTTTCGGATGTCCGGTCGAAGCCCTTCCTCGAAGCGACGAGCTCTATCTTCCTCATTACCCAACAAGTGAATGGCAAACTTTGATAGATAAGTGAACTCTTCTTCATATTCAGCTACCGTCTTGTCACCTTGCTCCAATTTTCGAAACTCCTGTTCTTTTTGTTTGCGAACAGTTGAAGGAAAATACTTTTCATAAAAAATCTTTTTAAACTCCTCCCATGATAACTTGTATGCTTTCTCTCCCAACGTCCTGATCTACATTTGCCACCACCCGTAAGCGCGGTCTTTTAACATATATACCGCATAATCAACCTTCTCATCTTCAGGGCATTTCATGTATGTGAAGACCTTCTCCATTTCAGTGATCCAATGCTCAGCAATCATAGGATCAACTGTTCCCTCAAAACTAGGTGGAGATAGTTTCTTGAATTCACCCATGCCACTTCTTAATTTTGGGTGCTCCTCATTTTGACCATTCGTCCGATTACGATCAATTTGATCTTGTTGTCTGGTGACTACAGTTGTCATCGCTTGCAGCAGATCCATCAACGCATTGTTATCTATTGGGTTTCCGAAGGTGGATGCACGAGCAATTCTATATCTCATCATTTCACCTATCGTCTGATTTAGATCCCTATCTCCGTTAGGAGGGGTTTGCTCATTACCTGAAGTCATAGCTTCCTATAAATAATAAAATATTTCAGTCAACTATTATACAAGGAGAAATTCCTAAGTCAGTCACATATATGCAATTTAAGTAATTAGGAACTCAATCATTACTCAACATAATAACACAAATCAGTATTTGCAAACCAAAAGTATATTATTAATATTTAACTTTTTTTTAGTTCATACACATATCTGAGTATATGGGTTTATATATACATATTTTCTACCAAAAATGTCCTACATAAACCAAAAGAGTAACTATGAAAACCCATATACTGATATTACAAAATTGCCCTAACAGTTATGCTCTATTTCCCTGAGGAAGAGGAGCTGTTGGAACTAGACTTCTCCTCAGTTGGTTCAGTCTCCTCCGAGTCTTGGCTATCAACAGAATTGGACATTGGATCTGGATCTATGCCACTAGTCCCCCATCCTTTAAGGTCGAGATCTGGACCAATGCCTAGGCTACTCGACTCACCCTCAGAGGGGGCAAGTCTTTGGTTATCACTAGGAATCTGGGCTACAATGGACTCCATGTCAGAGGGGTCGGATGAAATCATAATGATTGAAGGCGATGACTCAACTGGAACCACTTCTACCACGAGATCCTCATCCTCAGCATGATCAAGCTCAGACTCCGATGAATCTATCATAACAACTTCTACTGGTTCGACCTCCGGTGAGTCTGGGGTCATATGATTAGTCATTATCACGTTCGGATCAGTTTCATCGGAAGTGTATCCCCAATCTCTTAGGCTGGGTTCCCACGAGCTATCTACGGAAATCATAGGGCTGGACAGGGTAGATGACGAACTAGAAGATGAATTGGTTCCCGCCATCGTACAAAAGGGGAACCATCCATCAGCTTACTAAAGAAAAAGGACAAAGTGAAATAAAATAAACATCTAAGCACTCCTTAATAACCCTAAAATGTTTTACTATAAAATATTTATATGCATACATATATATACGTATGTATACAGACATATATATCACATAATTGATCCATACGCTAACACTCATCTAGCGTATATACTATATGATAGCGTGCCCTACAAGGTTTCTAACGTTGAAACCTAAGCTCTGATACCACCTTAATGTCACGCCCCGAAATTGGCAGCGAAAATTTATAAAATACGGAGTACGCGACAGCAGCGACCCGTGCACGGAACAAGTCTTATGCACGAGTCAAGCCTGGCAGTTCATATCACATAGTTTATTTTTAAAATATTTATAAACCTGCTAATGATAGAAATCAGAGCAACTATATATATATGATCGGTACTTACAACCCATAAGCTCACCGTTATAAGTATTTTTACAAAACAAAACAAAATGTGTTGAAGGTAACATCAACAAGAAGAGGCTTTCCATATAACGCCTCTTAGCCAAAAGCTCAAACCAAAAGTTCGTCTACTATGAAGCTACGCCGGATCTGAAAAAATTAAAAACAACGGAATGAGCTAGCGCTCAGTGAGAACATTTCACACTAGAGTTCCTAGATAACTAACAAAATAGTAATAAGAATAATTCCCAGAAATTAACAAATTTCAAGTTTTGCATGAGAAATTTACAGATAGCAGAATACGATCCAAATATCTTAATAATGTCATTTTTAAGAAAAAAATACAACAATTATATTTCCTTTCTCATGTGCAACTGAATAAACTGTGAAATTTCTTGGAATCAAACTCTTTTTGAATTAAGGTAAACAATTAAGAAGGAAAAGAACTACTAATTTGTACAAAATCAGAGAATTATTGTTTTCTTAATTTCACAGTCAATTATCAGAATCTTATTTCTCGATGAGTATTTCATGAATGTAAAAGTCACCCCATAGGTCACACTAAGGCTACAAATTTTAGCCCAGTAGCAAGGGAATGCGTAACCGCATCAGATAACAGATAATTCCCGGGAACCGAATGCACCTAACACTGTCATAGGCTACTGGCCAAATACAGAAGGGCCAGAACAAATTTCAGAAGGACCAATACAGAAGGGCCAAATAAATGTGCATTCACCATATGGCAGGCAGAACCAATCCATAGTGGACTATTTGAGGGTTTGAAAACATCGAGATTACATGTCAAATGAGAAATACTTTGCATATCAGAATTTACATATATTTCAAATGAAATTGACAAGGTAAATCAAATGAGAAATACTTTGCATATCAGAATTTACAGATATTTTCAAATGAAGTTGGCAAGGTAAAACTTCTCATTTCTGTTAAAACAGTTTACAGATATTTACTTTTTCTTTTATCAGATACTAAATCACGAAAAATCTTTGAATCCGTTAAAACTGTTGAAATACGTTCCAAATATTTCATCAAAAACTTTCAGATATAACAAAGTCCACAATTCTTTGAAAATTTCACGAGAGCCAAATTTAATTTTCATATTTTACCTAAAGATCAAATTAGCTTTTCATATATTATACGAGGCTAACATCGTATTATAGGGTAGACCACAACAGAAATAAGTCAAATCTTTATCTAGCTTAAATTTTTTCCATGGTATTTTGGTTGATGGTTTTTCCAAAATTTAACCAAAATACCATTGATGGTTTTTCCATGTGGAGAGGAGAAGGAAACCAGGAAAAAAAATCACCGAAAGAAATATTTATCTAGCTTAAATTTTTTCCATGGTATTTTGGTTGATGGTTTTTCCAAACAATGCAGATGTATTTATAATAAAGTGCAACTTTGCAGCCACCGAAATGCGTCCTCTTGGTTTCATATTATGAATTCTTTCACATTAGTTGATTCAGACTCAGAAGTTTAGGACTTACGACTCTATCATCCTGCCGAAGCAGAGAACTTAGGATGAGGAGCTATGAAGCACCGACACTCGGAAACAAGCCCCGAGTCCGTGTCCGACGCGCGTCGGACGCGAACACGCGTTCGACACGCGTCGGACACGCGGTCAACGCCGTCGACACGGGTCCGCGTTCGACACGCGTCAGACACGCGGTCAACGCCGCCGACACGGGTCAACTCTTCGACACGCTCCAGACACGCCTTCGACACGACGTTTCCTTCCCCGACACGACTTTTTCTCCCCCGACATGGCGTTTTCTCTCCAACATGGCTGAGAAGAGGGAAAAAAGAACAAATATATACCCGAACCCGAAACCCAAACCCGAAACCCAAACCCAAACCCAAACCCTAACCCTAGCTTTAACTTACCCGATCGGCTCGTCTGCTCTCTCGTTGATCCCGACTGAAGACATTTCGCCGCCATCTCTCTTGATCGACCTCGTCGTTCTCGATCGTCCTTGCCGCCAGCCATCTCTCTCGATCGTCGTCCTCCTCCTCGATCATCGTCGTCGTCCTCTCAGCAACCCTAACGGTTAGTCTCTCTCGATCTCTCTCTGATCTCTCTCTTTTAGTCGCTCTTTCTCTCTCTCAGTCGCTCTCTCGATCTGGGTCTCTCTCCGGTCTCTTCCTCTCTCTCTCTCATTCTCTCTTTTTTGATCTCTAATTCCTCTCTCTCCAATGTCAGTTTTATCTCTCTTTCTCTCTTTGATTCTTTCTCTCTCTCTCTCTCTCTCTCTCTCTCTCTCTCTCTTTTGTTTTTTATTTTAATTCTCTGTTTTTATTTTCGTTTTTACTATATAGAAATGTGAGAATAACATGAAAATGCTAGAATAATATATAAATTATAACTAAGATTCATACTATGTCCTGTCATTTTTTGTAACAATAGTAGGATTTTACTGTTTTTCATTTTAATCTATTGTTTTATGTTAATTTACAGTTATTTAATTAGGGTTCGTGTTTCATTAATTTACTGTTAATTAATTAGTTAATTAATTAGGGTTTCAATTTTTAATTTACTGTTAATTATGATTTTAGTTATTGTTTTACTATTATTAATTTTTTAATTTATTGTTATTGCTATTATATTTTACAGAAATGGAACAAGACGGGAGTTCTAGTGGTAGTGAAGTACAAGAGGACAAATGTCCGCTTTGAAAATATGTTACCAAATTGGAGAAAAGGGGGAGAACGGCAGGAGGAAATCAGAGATGAAGATGTAATTATTGCAGAGATGATTTTACCGGTTCACACTTCACACTCAAGAGTTAAAAATCATCTCTTGAGGATAAGCGGGACTGGAATTAAGATGTGTTCCAAGTCAACACCCGAAAACCTAAGGGAGTTTCAGAGGACGTTGGATCAAGCAGAGGCGAGGTTGAGGGCTTCTAAGCCTAAGATGCCAATTTTGCCTACATCTTCGACTGCAAGTACGATCGATGTAGGTGGAAGTGCAAGCATGCCGATTGGTGCAGGTGAATCTAAGAGGAGGAGGGGGTTTAATACCGTGAAACAAGCATTCAATATGGGAGCAATAGAGGAATTGGATGCATTGATTGGTAGGATGTTCTACACCGGGGGACTGTCCTTCAACTTGACAAGAAATTCATATTATGTCAAGGCTTTTGCATATACCGCAAGCAATCCAATCTCTGGCTACAAGCCTCTCGGTTACAATTCCATGAGGACCACTATCTTACAACGTGAGAAAACTCACGTAGAGAGATTGATGGAGCCCATCAGGGGCACATGTCAACAGAAGGGGGTCTCCATTTATAGTGATGGGTGGGCGGATGCACAAGGAGGCCCATCATCAATTTTATGGTGGTATGTGAGGGTAAGACAATGTTCTTGAATGCCGTGAATGCTGAGGGAGAAGTCAAGAATAAGTATTTTATCCAAGCACAGCTAAAAAAGTGCATCACAGAGGTGAGATCTAAAAATATCATCCAAATCATAACCGATAATGCTTCGGCATGCAAGACCGCGGGAGGGCTTGTGGAGGGCACCTGACCTCACATATTTTGAACTCCTTGTGTAGTCCATACACTCAATCTTGCTATCAAGAATATTTGTGCGGCTAAGAACACAAGCAAATTCCGTGGCTTATGCACAATTACATTGGATTACAGAGATCTCCGATGATGCATTATTTATGAAGAATTTTATCATGAATCACTCTATGCGGCTTTCCATGTTTAATGATTATTAAGAATTTTATCATGAATCACTCTATGCGGCTTTCCATGTTTAATGATTATTCCAAGATGAAGCTCCTATCGATTGCCGACACAAGATTTGCCTCGTGGATTATTATGTTGAAGAGGTTTAAGATCGTCAAGAGAGGCATCCAAGACATGGTTCTTAGTGATCGATGGAGCTTGTATAGAGAAGATGATGTGGGAAAAGCTCAATTTGTGAAAGAGAAAGTCATCGATGATTTGTGGTAGGACAAGATAGATTTTATTCTTGACTTCACTGGTCCAATCTATGAAATGATAAGGGTCACCGACACCGATACACTATGTCTTTATTTGATGTATGATATGTGGGATACAATGATTGAGAAGGTGAAACAAGCTATTTATAGGCATGAGGGTAAAAGGGATAACGATGAATCTCCTTTTTATGAGGTGATTCATAAGATCTTGGTGGATCGATGGAACAATAGCAACACCCCGCTTCAGTGCTTAGCACACTCTTTAGTTCCAAGGTAATATTTCATATTTCACTCTTTAATGCGAATATTTCTATTACTTAATACCTTGTGGGCTAATTCATGTTATTAACGAACATAGGTACTATCATTCCACATGGCTCAATGAGAACATCAACCGGCAAGCTCCAAATCAAGATCTTGAGATCTCTACGGAAAGAGCAAAGTGTTTAAGAAGATATTATCCTAACCCCGATGAACGACGGGCGGTGAACTTGGAATATGCTAAGTTTGTGGGGGATTTGGAGGTTTTTAGTGATCCGGATTCTCTTTCCGATAGAGCACATATGGATCCTAAGTCATGGTGGCTTCTTTATGGTGCACGTACTCCAAATTTGCAATCATTGGCCGTAAAGCTTTTAGGCCAACCTTGTTCCTCTTCTTGTTGTGAACGGAATTGGAGTACGTATGGTTTCATTCACTCCTTAAAGAGGAACAAGCTAACCCCGGCACGTGCGGAGGATCTTGTTTATGTTCACACCAACCTTCGCTTACTTTCTCGAAGTTCGGAAGAGTATATGGAAGGAGAATCAAGAATGTGAGATGTTGGTGGAGATGCCTTTGACTCATTTCAAGGTGTCGGTATTTTAGATGTTGCCGCCCTTTCTCTTGACGAGCCCACGATGGAGGCCGTTGTGTTTGAGGAGGATGAAGGAGTTGAAACCATAGAATGATCTTTTGATGTTTTAACTTGAGAACTTTATTATTAAGATATGCTTTTGGTTGTAATTTTTACAATGTTAGTAACTTAGTATTTTGTAGCCATGGAACTAGTTGCAACTTGAACTTTATTCTCTTGTATTTTGATATGCTCAAGATGAAAGTAATGAAAATTAAAATTTGGTATTATCTTCAAATTAGTTACATAACTTAAATTTGTCATTGATTATACAAGCCAATGTTACATAATAATATAACATAAAAAATTGATCTAATTTTCTATATGTTCATCTTCTCTTTCTTGTCTTTTTTAACATTATTGTCTTCAATTCTCCAAGAGATCATTGTCATCCCGACGTCTTAATTCACACCTGCAACACACACTTTCCTTTAGTTTCTTATTTATAATCTCCCCTTTACATAACAAAAAATATGAAAATGTAATACGAATTTAATTCAATATTGATCTATATATAATAATAATACTAAAAAAATCTAACCATGTCGTCGTGTCCTATTTTTTTTGGGTTTTGTGGTGTCTGTGTCGCCGTGTTCGTGTCCGTGCTTCATAGATGAGGAGTACTGGGAGAACTAGAAGACATCATATAGGAACTTAAACTAACTCTGCGAATGAAAAGTTCTCGGATTTGGCCGTTTCAAATTGTCACTTTTTCTTTTCCTTCTTTCCAAGTGTTATATTGATCTGTTTAACTTTCATGAATTGCGTTTCATTCCTCATACATGTGATAGCTTCTATCCTATAGATTCCTTCATTTTTTTTTTCAGGAAGAGAAAGTTCTTGCGCTTTGCTTTAAATGAATGCAGGTAAATAAACACTGATATTAGGTAATTTTGTCGATGACTTCCTTTAGTCCCGTGATGTTTTAATATCGTTTTCTTGGGTGATGTTTTATTTCACAGATTCTTCCTTCAGGCACTAGTTGCTGCAGAACTGTTTATAGTTCTTGAAAAGCTGTTCTCTATGTAGCCAACTAATGCAGAATGGTATATCTGTTGTCTTGAAACGCTATACATTAATTAGATAATATTATGTTATGTACTAAACAACTACTGCATGAGTACTGCTGGAGCTATGGTCAGCTAATATATTAGCTAATTTTATGTTGTGTAAATGGTTAAATCAGTGCGGGCTATGAATGGAGTAGTCCTCAGGTTATGCATATTATATTTCAGATCTTATTGTTCGCTTCTCGTGCAGATTGAGCCTCATGATTATATTGCAAAGCTTTTCAATGCAGTAGTGCAGTTTAACAACATCCTGACTGATTCTGATCGAGACGTAGGGAGCTATATTTCATTAGGCTACCTTAAGCAGGTGAAATTCTTTTGTTTGGCCACAATTCTGATTGAAATGTTACGCTTGGTTTCTTGAAAATTTCCAATTGGAATTAACAACTTCCACAACATGTGTTTGCGCAGACTACTAAAGCTACGGAGAATGGATCTTCAACTATGCCTCACAATGTTAATCCCGTTGATTTTGAAAATAGCAAGGGCAATTTGTGTCTGGCTAATACGGTTTTATCTGTTCTTAGCACAAAATTGCCCACCTTCTGCATGCATGTGTGTGCCACTTTCTTTTCCGCCTTTGTTCAATCTCACTAATCATCATGGTTCTTGTGGAGTATCTAATGTTCACTCGACCTAGCTTTACAGTAAATTAATGTGAATTTTAGTTGCTAACAGAAGTTCACATGCATTTTCTCTTTTCCTATGCATATAATTAGGTTTTATACCATCCACTGTGTGAAAACATGCCTTAATGTCTTGATCTTATGAAGCCATATTGCATACTTGTTAATCATTTGACAGAGGGACTTGACGGATTCAACTGTTTTGCGGAATTTGGGCATTGGATCAGGGTATTCTCTGTTGGCTTACAGAAGTGTCTACAAGGAATCAGAAAGCTTCAGATGAGCAATACCATTTATTTGTTGTGCTTTTATAATGTGTCGTAAGTATCAAGATACAGAAAATAGGAAGGTCGTCAATAGGAAAGCACCAGCCTTGCCATTTCCTTTTTGTTCCATGCCTAACCTGTTTAAAGCTTTGGAGTTATTGGTTTTAAGTATCATGGCAAGAGATTCTGTTGAATATTTTATTTCCTATCGGTGTGGCTGACTGGCCATAACACTGCCAACGGAGCAGGTTCAGGACACAATGATTTGGCTAGGTTATCTTGTTCTCATTATACAATTTTCTCCGTCGATATGTTTCTATAAAGGGGTTTTTGCATATATACCCCTCAAATCTTCAATATTTGCAAAATTGCCTCTCAGATCTTGGTATTTGCAAAATTACCCCCCACATATCATCATTGTAATGCTCTACAACTACTCTTTGGATTTTTTTTTTAATTTCTTCGTCATTGCTAAAACTAAGTTTACTTCGTAGGTAAATGAATCTCATCTCAATGAAGACCTGGAGCAGGGGTGGGAGGTGCTTGCACAAGCAATCCAAACAGTGAGTTTCCGTCAGCACTGTTTATTTAGCCTTTGACAATGATTATTGTAAGGAAACAATGAGTGTGAGCCGGCGGCTCATTTTGCTAAATGAGCTACCGAGATATGGACAACTTGTCAGGCCCACCCTACTTGTCACATTGGATGGGTGGATCTCACCTCCTTTTATCACTTGGCATCCCCTTTAGTAAAATGAGCATCCATCTTATTATAACCATCAAACCCTTATTGTAATGTAGTTGAAGTATCAGTTTTTGTCAGTTATATGTAATATTTGTTAGGTCTGCTTGTAATGGTTCTATGGTTCTATTGCTTTTAAGGTTAGATATAGAACCTTTACTTCTTGTTCGCACATTTTGACAATCATAATGACAAGTACATTGGATTGGAGAATGCTTGATGATGATTCCTCGTTGTTATGGATGGTGATGACAGCATTGTGTTTCTCACTCACATAATTATTTTTCTTTGATTATATGCCTGTGACAAATGCTAATTTTGCATTATGAATTCCTGGTCCGTGTACACCCATATCATATGCATGTGAGGAAGGTATACACATACATTTGTCATTACATTGGAGAAGCAGAGAAATTGGACCAGTCTATCGATGAGTTCATGGATTTGGTGAATGGGGTCAGGTTCTTAGTCTTTGAAACAACCATTCATTTTGTGAAAGAACGGGATGGTAATTTTACTAATTTAGTTCTTTCTCATTCTTGCAACATCCCTGTGCATTTTTGCTATTAGCAGAGGTAGTTAGATTTGTATGTTTGAATAAGCTTATAACTAGTGTCAAAAGAAAAAAAAAACCTGAGGACAGACTAGCGTGCAACATTGTGTACCTCTCACACCTGAGCAATCAGTTCCATTTGGTTCCTCTTATACAGAAAAAAAAAAAAAATCTTAGTTGATGCTTAGCTTTTGTGGCAATTGTTACTTTAGGAAAGACAATGAAAATTTGTATTTATTAATTATTTAATTCAATTAAATTGTCAATGAAATGTTCGAATTAAGTTTGTTTCTCTAGCAACTTCTCTTAATCCCTGTTTCCAGTGACATGTCTTCAGTAAACTATCAAGGTTATTGTTTTCACTTCACAAAGGATGCTTTATTTTTTTTTTTTTTTTGGGTGCAACAGCTTAAATTGATTATGAGGTCATAACTGCATGTCATATAAACACTGCGTATGGAGGACTACCATGTCTGTGTCCAAGTTCTAGAATTACACATTCAACTGTAACTGATGGATTATCAACACAAAAATAACCCTACCATCAAATTTGCATGATAACCTGCATATTTCAATTATATATACAAACTGATCAGAGATTAGGGGTCTAAACGTTATCATTGAATGCTTCTGGAAGATGGATTATTCTATCAACCAAAATCAATTAGGCCTGATCATACCTTAGTTCATCCAATTACGTTGTGACCTTTTATTTTGACAGTACTTAAAGTCAAACATGCTTTATCCAAAAAATTACTAATCCTGCCACAATCACATAATCTAAGGTGACGATCTATCACCTAAGGGTCTGTTCAATGCTAAGCGGCCACCTAATCCATTTACCTTGTGCGCATTTAGATTCCCCTTTACATATTTTCAACTTCGTAAGCAAGCAAAATTGGAACCTCAACCCTGAGAAGACCAAAAGGTAATCAGAAGCTCCGACGGTCAGGACGTAAAAGATAGAAGAGCTACAATTGAAGAACGCTCTCTCTTATGTTGTCAACCTCTTACATCACTAGGAAACTGGAAATTCTTGGCTGAAAATACAAATAATGAGCTGAAGTCTCCAAAATCAGTTAAGGTTGGTGTTCACATTGATTTACTTGAACACGCCATCTTAACCATCGAGTTAATTATACACGATCCGTATGCTCGGATAGTTAAAGTACCTTTCCAAAAGATAATGCCGATGCTAAAAGATCTTAAAGGTTGCATGTTAAAATAAGCAAAGGGTTGACATCAAAGGGAAACTGATTTCTAATGAGCATTTTCCTTCAGAACACACAAATGATGCAACTGTCTGAAGCTTTAGGTTGGAAGGCAACATAATATTCTTTGAAGGTAGGTAAGTTGGTTGTCCTTTATAGGTCTGAACTTCACCTGCTAAGTGTCTATATGTCATGTTAACCATTGTGGGGTTGAGGTTGTCTGGTCTTGTTGCAGGTCTACACACAATCACCAAGGCTCTTTCTCTCATGTTGATGCATACTCTTGGAATTTCCTACACCGTTGACGCGTATTAATGTGATGATGCAGGGAAGTTTCGAGGGTCGTTACAAGTCTAAAGTTTTCTTGCATGTTTGGGAGCAATTTGCATGGAATTTTTCTGGCAAGAGGATTGGATTCTTTGGTGTCTTAATTGGACACGGAGAGCAAAGTGAGCAGAGAGGCACAATATGAAGTTCTAGATTATGATGAGATGGAGAAATATATTTGAAAAACATTTTGAGGATTTAAGAAGCCTGAGGTTGCCTTTGCATTTAGCAATGTTTCATGAAAAGTTTCGTTAAGAGTTGCTCTCAAACCCGGCTCGATCAGTGTTGTAGAATAGGCAGTAGATCATGTCAATTATCAATTTTAAGAGTGAAGAGGATTAGACATAATGTGATGTCTTCAACAGAATGTATTATTAATGAGAGGCATCGAGGTTAGCAAATGACAAACTAAAATAGACGTTCTATC